CTGTTGTCACCTCAAGATACTCTGTTGCTTTGGTGTTGCGCAGTTTTTGAGGTCCCTGGTTGCCAAGCGGGCCTTGTGGGCTGGGCCATGTTGGACCTTGGACTGGGGACAAATTCTTGAGCGCGGAACATCCTGGATGCTCCCGGAGGCCAAGGGCCTCAAACGATCCTGGTAAAGACGGGCGGTTGAACATGATTGAATTTGCTCCTGCGAGTCGCAACGAAAGTCCAATATCTCTTGCGACTTTCTGCTTTCCATCGATTTTGAGGACAGAAATGCTGGTAGGCATCACTTGGGCTGTCAGTAGACTTCAGGTGCGTCGCTCACGTTCAGATGATACTAAATCCTATTCCTACCTGTACGTAAAAGTGTAGAGTGAACTTCAATATGATTCATACTCTGGCAATAAAAATAAGATGGCTGGCTTTTCGTGAGAAGTAACGTTGGTCTTGTCAACCAACAAACTTCTTCACCCGCTCATATAAATATCCCTGTCTCCAAACAGCCAAGCCGGCTAGCAGGGATGACGTTCCACATTATATGCGGTTGGAGAGAACCTGCACTTGAGCCTTGAAGACATCGAGGGTTACGTTCGGACATGATTCCCGACCGGTCGTGTGCCCATTGATTTCGGTCCAATTCCAACATGTCAAAATATTGTTAGGATTTTGCAACGTAACCTTATTTCGGTCCTCCGGCCCTTTGAAGGGAGTCACTTCAGAAGCCTCACACATTATTCAGGATGCACAAGCATGGCTCTGCGTGTACAACACACCACCGAGAATGAACGAGATTGCGCATGCAATAGAAGCGGATACATGCAGTCTTCAGACCTAAACCAAACCACGCGCCCGGTTGTGGGTATTTCCCGGGAATCAATATTGGGGAACTATGGCCGAAATATTTCGCAGGGCCTGAGCAAGCGTATTCCTCCTGGCGTTGGGATATAAACCCGAAGCTACATCGCTGTACTTGCAGCCTTTTGGTGATGCTCGAGGCCCTTTCGCTTGGTCCAGACCACCCCCCCGAGTCATTCTTGGCCCCCTTCTCCTCTCCTACATAATTCCGATTCATCATACATCTAGCACTCAAAAACTACAGGTCAAGATGCTTTCAACAGTTTGGGACTACGTCATAGTTGGCGGTGGCCTCGCGGGTTCTGTCATCTCAAGCCGCATGTTGGAGTACAATAGTTCCCTGAACATTCTCCTCATCGAGGCTGGCGAAGACACCCGGTCGCGTACCGACATTCTTTACACCAACGCTACGAACCTCATGGGTGGCGAGCTCGACTGGCAGTATCCGACTAAACCTGTCTCCGCGCTCAATGACCGCAGTCTTGTCTACAACCAGGGCAAAGGCTTGGGAGGTGGCGCCGCGATCAACTCTTGTAAGCAGCCATTGAACTTTCTCGAGACTGACTCGAAATACTAATAGTACCCAGGTGGTTATACTCGTGGCCCCAAGGTGGATTATGATGAGTGGGCTGAAATCGTAGGCGACTCGCGATGGAGCTATGATAGCCAACTACCCTGGATGAAGAAGGCCGAGGATTGGTTCAGCACCAACAGTACCGCTCAGCACGGCAATGGGGGTCCTCTCCACGTTGCTTCCGTCACATCCACAGGCCGATCATACCCCCTCCGCGACGATGTTGCGGGGGCTTGGCAAGAACTCGGAGTTACGGGTTTGCCCAACCTCGACAGCAACGCCGGCGATAACCTTGGTCGCGCCGAGCTCACCGAGACCAGACGTAACGGTCTTCGTGAACTCACACCAGTTATCTACCCCCTCGATGGTATCACCGTATTAACCGACACTCTGGTTGAGAAGATTATCCTTGCCAAGAATTGCAGCAACGGGGAGCTGAGGGCAACCGGCGTTCAGCTCGCCAATGGTACCCAGATCTCCTCCAAGAACGTAATCTCGGCGGCCGGAGCATACCGATCTCCCCAGCTGCTCATGCTCTCTGGTATCGGCGACGCTGAAGAGCTGCAGAAGCACAACATCTCAGTCAGGCTCGACCTACCCGAAGTTGGAAAGAATCTCATGGATCACATGTCATTCTATCAGTTCTGGAAGCTCAAGAACCCCGAGAAAGGTCTCGCGCTTGGCTCCAACAACCCACTGTTCTCACAGCCCGAGTTCGCTACCGGCTACCCGATTGACTGGGTTGTGTCCACTGATGTCGACAAGACAGGCCTTGCCGCTGCCATCGCCGAAGACGAGGGTGCTGCACCAGACGCCGCGACTCACTCGCTTCTTAAGACAGGCCGAAGTTTCCTTGAGAACTTTATCATTTACCAGGCCTACAGTGCCTCGAACCCTACCGTTCCTTTGGATGGATCGCACATCTACACCAATGTAGTCTCTTTCCTACCCACCTCCCACGGCACCGTCGGTCTCGAATCCTCCAACCCCGCAACCGGACCAATCATCAACCTCAACTACCTTGAAACCGAGGTCGACCGCTACGTCTACCGCGAGGGCATACGTCAAATGACCAAGCTGATGCTGAACACCACTTTTGGCAAGGACTTCATCGCCGGTGAGACTGCGCCAGATGCTTTTGAGCCTGTGTCGCTTGATGACACTGACGATTATCTCAACTCTCGTCTGGCAGCGGGAGGTGTCACGACGTGGCATCCTCATGGCACGTGCTCCATGGGCAAGGTCGTTGACTCCGAGTTCAAGGTGAGAGGTGTGAAGGGCCTACGTGTGGTGGATGCCTCAGTTTTGCCTGTCCCCATGGCTGCCCATCTCATGGCTCCGTTATATGCCATGTCGGAGCAGGCGGCTGCTATCATCACTGGAAATGCCTAGAGGCTCTGATATGAATATCTAATACACACTTGAGTTCATGATAACAATAGACTTCATCATCGCACTTGCGAGGCTTTACATGATCGATCAGAGAGTACTTCGAGGATCTTTAAAAAAACACAGCTCGTCTAGACTTTTCACGAGGAATGCATTCTTATGATCGAAGTCTTCTTCAGGCTTTCATCATTACTACATAGACTTCGGAGCATCGCTTCTCTCCAGCCTATCTCTCTGCTTCGCTGGAAACAATCCCAAAATGGAGAAACTTATTTCGATTGGTCATCTTGAAAGCAAGTGGTACGCTAATATGCCCTCGTTTCCTATATATTCTCCGCTTCGAAATTCCAGGCGGAACTGTCGTCATCGGCAACGAGGCTGGAGGTGAGACTCTCTATGTTTTCTGGCATTTCATGGGCGAAATTTCGTTCGACCACGGCACTTCAGTCGATGTGAGACATTTAAGAGGTTTTATTGATGAATCTAGCTGGATACAAAACTAGCATATCATGACTTCATTGTAATGAAAGTGACCTCGTGAGTCCCAACGTTTTTCACGTGCACTTTTCGGATGGTTGGCAGGCAGCTGACTCTTTTTTCTTCTTCTCTTCTTTTTACTTCTCTTCTTTTCTCTTCTCATCAATCTTATTGTGTATCGAAGTAGATATACCGGTGAAAAGCTGTCTCTCGATGGAATCTTGCTCTAGGTCAGCCTCTTTTTCTTTGTCGGTGGGAATTTGATATGTCGAGATATCATTTGTACTCGACGAGTGATGCCCAGAGGCACCACTTACGTGATGGCCACCCCTTGTGGCCGCAACAGCCCCCTGGGAGGGGTGACCGCCCTGTGTGCCAGTCCCAGTCTCGGGAGGACCATTTCGATATTGGTCATTGCGGCCACCGAAGTATTTCTCGCCCCATCCTTCTTTAGGAGTATGATCGGTGGGCCCTTCGTCGATGTCTTTTTTGGGTGAGGATGATGGCGTCTCGGATGACTTTGATGGCGATGACATTTTTGCTTAAGGCCTTTGAGGTCTTGGTTCGTCGCGCGGAAGGAAACGGCAGTGGTCACAGTGAGTTGTGAATTTTGAAATCTTGGTTTTCTGTTTTGTTTTGTTTTGTTTTTTTTTTACTTTTCTTTCTTTCCCTTCTAGATGTATGCTGGATTGTTTTTTCGTTTTTAGACAGTGGAGTGCTGAAATTGTTTCTGGGTCGTCATGCTCTGCAAATTATCGTCCAGAGTCAAGCATGCACATCGCGGTTTATATAGCAACGACCTGGCATGCACTACAAGGGTTGTTCAGTTGATCTTTATTGAATGTCCCATATACCTACACTTTGTTTGCAGTCAGCAGATGACCCTCGTCGACTTGGTGCATCCTAGCTTGCTTTTCTTGAACAGTCGTGTATCTTTGTCATCTAGAACAGTGTTTTGGTGACACAGCATCTCCAATAGGATGTGAATATGGTGCCTAGACTACTCTCGATTGTGGCGGTCGAGAGAAATGAGCAGCTCTTTTTCATTATGACCACCAATTCAGTCTATGTTTGAATGATCCGGCGGTAAACGTACATCAAGTCTCGCAGAGGCTGTTCAGGGGCAGGTGCGCAGCAGGATAAAGTGATCTCTGCGAAAGTACGTACATGTGACACAAGGTCCTTTGTGACAGGCTTGGTCAATCTTCAGCAAACAAAACATCATCCATCCTCTGCGCCCGCTCCTCCGCATGTATGTAAGGTGGGTCAGCACATATTGCCAATAGATAAAAGTCACTGTTCACGTCTCGGATCATTTGCGCAATGGCTTGTTCCTGGCAGGTGAGAGCATATACATCTGATAAGAGAATAAGCTGGGCGGAAGTGGACAAAAAACACATTCTTATTCAGTTCAATGTTCTGAATTCCCCACCTCCCACGACAAAGGACTGATTTAAGTCATGCCCTGCGTTTCAGTCTGAAGTGACAATCCCAGTTAGGTTTTGCCAATGATACTTCTTCGTTTCGTGATGCACAGTTTTGATTCAAGAAGCAACCATTGAGTGAATATGAATGACAGGCCGCACACAGAATACTAGTACCCCAAAACTCAGCAAAAGTTGAAATATCTCAGTACACATCAATAAAGCACGAGATGTGTGTACATGTACCATCCGCCTTCCCAAATTGTACGGCATATGCCCCTAGAAGGCTCTGCACTCAATCAAGCCCTTCTCGTAGCTGTTGTAAACGGCTCCATCACAAGCCAAAAACCCCATGGCAGCAAGTGCAGCAGTGGTACCTCCACCAATCGCACCGACGCCAAGAGCCGCAATACCGCACTCCATGACCTCAAAGATAGCTGATCCGACCAAAGTATCCATGCACTTGTTACACTCCGTGGCGGGCTGCTTCACGCACTGCCTCTCTTGGGCCTCACGAAGGCGGCGCCTGCGGATGTTGCCGACCGACCCGGAGCGTGCCGAGTTGAGAATGCTCTCGGCGCGAACCAGGTTCTGGGTCTCCATGGCGCCGGCGACTTGTCTTGCCTGCAGACTGTTGGCGTAGACGGCGGGGTCGATAGCTGCAGCGGTAGTGAAGAGACCGCTAAGGAAGACGGTGGTGATGGTGGTGAACTTCATGTTGACAGGATATGAAAGTTGTAGACTTGGTAAAGAGAGTGGTTTGTAAAAAGGAAAGTGGTCTTTTGATTGAAGGACTGAGAAAAGAGTGTAGAAGGATAAAGAAGTGGTTGGTTTGGATGATGATATAACTGAACGAAGGGCGGATGATGGAGTGGTATTTATACAAACATTACAGACTCTCATTTCTGGTAGCTCTCTCTCATACTGAAAGAGCCGACTCCTCAGTGTTCTCTTGTGGCTAAAGTCCAAGATGTGCTTTGCAAAAGCATTACATAGTACACAGCTGTATCACGATCTCTTCAAACCCCGAGCTATGCGGATACTCAGGAGTTACCCGAAACCGAAAACTCACAATCCAGAATTGCACTCTTGGCATATTCATGGCTTAGAGACGGGTTGAAGCTATCACGAGTGCATCGTGTAGTCTTGGAAGCCCGCCTCCATATGAGCTGCCTCTATTATAGTTTCAGACCAGATTGTTTATTCAGTATCGACACCCAGCCAGGTGCTTTACGAAAACGAACTTGGGCGGGGAAAATTGCATGTTGTCTTTACGGCTTTCGACCACAGTGAGGGGAGCTTCATGTAGATGGGCTTGGCACGAGGCTCATCGCGCCTTACAGCGCCCGTTTGTGCCCTAACAGCAGTGCGAGCGGAAAAAAGCAGCATCTGGCCGTTCCCGACGGACGCCAGCTCTTGGTCCGTGACCGGTGATCCGGCCCAGATCCGAAGACGTCCAGGCCTGCTTTTCCGACCCAGCGGTTTGGAATGTCAGGTTGAGCCTTGGACAAATAACGTTAATCTGGTTTAGCGTGGGCAGACGAGTCATCACCGGGCAGTTTTATCCCAACTCAGCGTCCTTGCCAACGTTAACCTTGCCCGAAAGAACAGGAACCATCTATAATTGACACAACTATGATTTGGTCCGAACTTGCTGCATTCCGTGCATTACGTGATTTAGCCCTCCTCCATCTGGGCTCGATGCATAATCGCCAAGATCCTAAACTCAGCCTCGAAGGTCTGCAAAGGCATCTTGACGAGACTCTTGGCAATTATCTCTACAATTTCTAATGTTCGAATCTCTCAATTAGAAACCTGGGCTCTGAGATCACGAACTCGTTCTCGCGGAATCATGTCGTTGACGGTCCACTTGCGCTGGGCTTCTCCGGCGGAGAACTTCCCTTGTAAGATTTCAGAGACACAGCAGCAACTTCAGATTTCAGAGGCATCTTGAGATGCTTCACAGGTCTATAAAAGATAATTGAATCCCGCGTTAAATGTCTTCTTTTTCTTCTCTCATCATCACACATTCACACTTCATTCAGTCTCTTCAACAATCATCATCACAATCCTTCAGCTTCAAGCTTATCAATCTTTACAACTTTCTCTCTTTACCAACTCAACAAGTTTCTTCAACTTACCAACTTTTTGAAATCTCCAAAAATGTTCTCCAAGACCATCGTCGCTGTTCTCTTCGCCTCCGTCGCTGTCTTCGCGGCCCCTGTCGAGACTTCCAACAAGGAAGTCGAGGGAAGACAGATCAACCAGAGTGTCACTCTCTGCAGTGACAAGGGCATGGCTGACTGCGATACTGTCAACTTCAACTTTGGCTTCTGCGGTTAGTTCCGGTTGTACATTTTAATCTTGGTTCTTAGCTGACAGTCTCTAGTCTCTCCCATCGGAAGACTGAACGACAAGGTCAGCTCTCTCAACGCCAACGGCTACAACTGCATCTTCTACAAGTAAGTTCAAAGATTTATACATCCTCAAATCAGCTCAGATTTCTAATCCACTTGCCACAGTGACACTGGATGCCGCAACGGTGGCGGTCAGATCGCCACTACTGGAGAGGTCACCGACATCCGCAGCCACCCCTCGTTCAGCACCATGAACGACGATGTCTCTTCCTTCTTGTGCAACATTTAAGGTCTCCATTCGCTGCCAAGGCTGTTCTTTCGATCTGCATAACATGAACTGGTCACCAGCGCAACTTGTCTGGTCGCTTGCCAGCATCGTAGCAATCTACACTCACCTGGAACGATGGTGAGGATGCCTGGGATGGACTATGGCTTCTAGGGGTCAGTATGATTTGTATAGGTCTCTCTTGTCTCTCGGTAGCTCTTTAGCAATTGATATGTCACTCTACTTCCTTGCCCACTTCAATTGAATTAACTTACGCGCTCGATGTAATGCATTCGTTGAGCCATTCCCCACCTAAACGTTGGTAGGATTTGGATATGTCTCAAAGGGAAGAGGATAACTCTCCGCGGAAGTGGCTTCGGGTCTTAGCCAGATGTGATCAATAAAAACAATTGCACCTCCTAGTCAATAGCCCTGTATAGATTGTGAGTCCGATAGTAAAGAGATTAAGAAAGACAAAACACGTATAATTTCTGCCACACTCTGACGCACAGGCCATTGGCAAAGGGGCTTGCTTCATGAGGAGGTCACGGAAATGCAGGCGACTTGGAGAGACACATGCCACACAAATCACCAAGGAATAAGACGGCATGCGGAAGCCGCACACAATCCCAATTTTTATGTACTAGCTCATTTGATAATGCAGTGAGATCTGATAAAAGATAACAGCTTAAACCCAAGATCAAGAGATTAAACCGTTTACGGAGTAGTTGGTTGGTGTTTGCTGCTTACTAAGCCCGAAACCGGCTCCCATCGGAAATCGGAACACCAAAAACACGAGGATGCGCTTTTCGGTCTGACGACACGTTCTACGAGCAGCTGCACGATTCTGTCGCCGAATTCATTATAATAACGAGCCAAATGGAAATGGCAAGCATGGCAAACAAGTAGTTTGTGGCGGTACTTACCGAAAGAGACGCGTCGTCCGCGGTCCGCCAAGTGCAACCAAAGCTGTTCAACCTTGGCCGTGCTGAAGATGCAGTGTCGAAGGCTTCAATCCCTCACGGTGAGATTTCGAGATCATCAGATACCAGTCGAGAATCAGACGCCCACATACGGCTGAAAACCACGCCATCCTTGCCCCCATGTGGCAGAGCCCACCCGAAAGCCGAGACTTTCAAGTAGCTTGATGGGACTTCCCCCGGATGGAATCACAAGTCGTCGTCGTCTGCATCCGGCCAAAACTGCCACCAACGGCTTTCTCACTGGCCAACAGAGCTGGCGGTATGGAGAATCTCGAATGCACAAACTTCTCACTGTGAGAATTCTGTTTCTCGCTTCAGGCTCCACTTCGCAACAACCCCGCTGTGGATTGAAAACAGAGCGCTGACAGGTCGTTGGGTTCGAGGGGGCGGTTCGGACTAGCATATCCCTGACTCGTAAAGGGGTTTGCTAGCCTGTTTAATCTTATCAGATGCATCTCCGAGAGCCATCATGGAGCTTGGCGCACTAGTCTAGAGCAAAGAAAACCTTGAATGTGAGAGAAAAAAGTCCTCTGATGGAATTCTCCATCGTCCGAGTTGCTTTCTCTCAAGCCAAGTCTTACGTTTCTCGCCGTGCCGTCTCGATCCGACCTCGGGTTTGCGAACCAACAGAGTTCGGTTACCGTCCGACATAGGTTGGATAAATAGCAAGACGAGCGCTGCTTCGATGGTTGCATTCACCTCGCTCCCTTGTCCTTCTCATCCATCATTCGTGCATTAGACTGCTACCGAGAGACCGGTACTATCAAACAACAATGGCGGCCCGCGCAGATCTCGAGTCCCACCGGGAGAAACACCCCGAAGACCTCGTCAACGAGGTCCCCGAGTCATCATCCTCGGATTCGGAGGACGACCTCAAGCCACATCCCCCAATGTACTGGAAGATCATTGCCGTCATTCTGATCTCCTGCATCAGCTTCGGTTCTTCGTGGAGTTCGGGTATCACCGGCGCCCTGAAGTCGACGCTCAAGAAGGAGCTCGATATCAACAACAAGCAGTTTTCCCTGCTTGAAGCTAGTGAAGATTTCATGGTTACTCTGCTCATTCTCACGAGCGGTATCGTGACGGACAGAATTGGTGGTGCCGGTGCCATGTTGTATGGTGAGTTTTACACTTGCAGCCTCTTCTGAGACAATGAAACTGACGCAGCAAAAGGTAACATCATCTACTCCATCGGTTCCATTATCGTCGCCGCCGCAGCTCAGACCCGCGACTTCAAGCTCATGATCGGCGGCCGAGTCATCCTTGCCCTCGGCGACATCGCAACCCAGGTTGCCCAGTACAAGGTCTTCAGCTCCTGGTTCTCGCCCAACAACGGTTTCGCGTCCACCCTCGGCCTGGAGCTCGGCATCAAGAAGATCGGCGGTTTCGTCGGCAAGTCCTCAGCCAACATCATTGCAAAGAACACTGGTAACTTCGCATGGGTGTTCTGGATCGCCGTCTTCATGAACGTCTTCACCAATATTCTCACTCTCGTATTTTACCGCTTCAATACCATCGCCCACAAGAAGTTTGGCAACGTTACGGACCCAGCCACCGGTGAAAAGCTTACTGAGAAGTCCAAAAAGTTTGAAGTCAGAAAGGTGCTTGAGCTTCCGTGGGTTTTCTGGGCCATCTTGTCATTCTCTCTTTTCCAGACCAGCACTGCAATTGTGTTCTCGCAGAACGCCACCGAATTGGCTGAGAAGAGATTCAAGACCGACTCCATCACTGCTGGTTGGTACTCAGCAACTCTGCAGTACGCCGGCTTCTTTTTGGTTCCCTGCATTGGTGCCTTCATTGATCTCCTGGGCAACCGCATCACCTTGTGTAAGTCAATCATGTCCTTTTGAGGATTCTGCCGGTATCTGACCCTTCTTAGTGGCTATCTGCGGTACCGGAGTCTTCCTGGCTATGGCCCTTATCAACTGGGCTACGGATACCAAAGGAACTGCTGCAGCGTTTGGCATTTACGCCGTTGCGTTCACTCTGGGCCCTACCACCATTATCGACAGTATCCGTACCTCGATGTGGCATTCATCTGTCTTTGGCTCCGCTTACGCCGTCAAAATCGCTACGAACAACGCGTAAGTTCTCGATCCATCTCAACCCAGT